GATAGCTCGTGTCCCGTAGAGGCCTAGTGTGTGTGCATATATGTATAGGCGTGTATACGCGTGGGAGCGAGCCATGTATGTCCTTTAATGAGCTAGAGGTATCTTAAAATACGTAGAACGGTCTCACGCTTGGTTACTTGCCTCTGCGTTTTATCTCGGCAAAGCCAGCCGGAAAGGTTTGAGGGCACTGACACATGGCTTGCCAGTGCCTTGCAGGACAGCGGAGCCAGGCAGTTGCTCCGTCTTGGGCGTAGCAAGTGCCGCCGCGTTGCCTGGTGCACGTTGGGGGTGTTGGAAGGCCGGCGTGCACGCCGCATCAAAGCGAAGCGCCACAGCGCTGGGCCGCACGTGACTCTTTCACTCCGGACACGGCCTCGCACTAGCGAGTACTTTGCTATTGAATCACCTGATGCTTTCTACCTGGAAGCAACAAGCAGTACATCACGAGTTACAAAAACTGTCTTTAATTGCAGGAAGAAGATTCAGAACGTCTTAGTGCAGCATTCGCCTCAATAGTGAACTTGATGAATCAAGCCACGAAGGAATGTGAGGTGAGGTTTTACCCCCAGATCCGTGCAAAGGAGAATATGTGTGATGTGCCTGTCAAAGGCCTGTTTGCACTACTTTTGCTAAAACTGAAAAAATTAGACTTGCATGGCAAGAGCTTAGCCAGTGAGCCTGTGATGCTGGCCTAGATTAAGAAGTTTGGGGCATTTGCCATCACGTGGTAGGTGACAATAGGTTTCACCAGTGCTACGCTGACCCACACGTACCACCTTGGCTGATAAACAGCACTATCAGCATTTTGCGTAGAGTACCAGTAGACCAGTACAGATTTTAGCAGAGGGTTTCTCCACTCCTTGGTGGAAAGGCAATAGGGTTAGGAGGCAGAAACATCAGCTGACATGACAGATTTCGTTGTGGCAGCCACCGTCACACCCAGTTTTCGTTGTGCCAGCCACTGTCACACATACAGAGGTTTTTCCAGTGCTGCGAGGTGCCTCTGCTGTGGAATGGCTTTACAACAGAGTAACCCTTTGTTTTGATCGTGCAACCATGAACCGCGCGCGCTCGCTGATGGAGTGATGCGCGCTCGCATTGCGGGTGGCAGAAGTAAGGAGAGTTTGAATCTCAAGCAAAGAGATTGCTTTCTGCCACGCATTCACTCTGAATTCAAGAGTTAACCTTCCCATTTTACGTCTGTAATGCCTGAATCTCACGTGTCTTATATTGTTTAAGCAAACTTGATTTGAGATGTTCCTACCGCATTACAGGCTCGGGTTTTCTGAGCAGCACCACATCTTTATTTGCGATAGGTAGAAACCGAGGTATGGCACACAGACGCGCGGCTCCACTGCTTTCACGTTGGCCCACGCGCACCGTGAACCTGCGGTGTAACAGCTGTGCTTGCACTCTGGCAGCTGGGTGGCAGACGGACGGGGAGCCCAGCGCTGCCAGCCTGGCCTTGTGAGCACAGCTCTGCAGCCCGACGACTGCATTAAAGTCTCCGAAAAGTCCATCACAGTTTACATCATCTGTGCCCTTCGGGGTCAGTTATCACCAGGCAGCTTGTTGTCTGCAGAGTTAATAACAGAGGCTGGGTCTTTAATTAAATTAGTAGCTCAACGCACACCAGACCATTAGCTCTTAAGCCACCCCTTTATCGTTCAAATCACCACATGCACGGTACCCGGTTAATCTTAGAACAACTGCAGAAAACAAAAACGTAACAATGTATAGAGACTCATCCTGTGTCTGTTAGGAGTCTGTAGAAGAGTGGAACAAGCAGTGGGTGACTTCCATGCTTGTGCATCGGTCAGGACAGTGCTGCTGCAAGTCATCTTCTGTAGAGAAGGGTCTTAACGGGGAGGGGGAAAGGAATGCTCACACCCGCAAGTTCACAGATCCAAGTTTACAAAGCATAAATAAAAATCTACAGCTGAATGTAACCATTTAGGCACTTGGATGCCACCGAGTGCAAATGATTAAAATTACATGATTTAAGAATTGTTGTTTAGAATTATTTAGAGACCAAAGTTTACCCACATTTCTTACTAAAAGTTTGATTTAATTTCTTTGCTCTTTGACATCATGTAAAAGAATCCAGCTCACCTCCAGTGATACAGAGATGCTCTGTGAAGTGTTATGCAATAGGTCAGAGTATTTGATGTATTTTGGGACGTTGCTGCACAGTCAACTACAATACAAACAACCAAATCTATTGATGTGCGCATAACCTCAAGGAATAAAGCACAGCAGTACACTTGGAAATAAGAATTCCTGTTGGCCTTACTTTTGCTATGTTTAGTCTTGACAATCAGACACAAGGACAACATGAGTGAAATAAAATAGATATTTTGGAACTTTTTGGTCCCTGTGATCAAAAAGGTAACCCTGGGAGGAGTTCTGTGGTGACAGCAGATGGCAGCAGAGCTGCACGCAAATATTTCATTTGCAGTGGGGAAGATTCAAATACCTTTATTGTGGAGCCAGAAAAGGGCTGCTGTGGACTTAAACACAATTCTCAAAACCACTATGCTACTGGTACCAGCCTTGAAGACACTTTAGCTTCTTCACCAACTCATTTTTCAGTACTAACATGTTCTGCTTTTAGAGCACGGCTCCTGCACAGAGTCTTCACTAGCTAGGTTGCCAAGCACCTAGCTTGCATATACGTCCTATTAAAGACCCATAAACTATGCCTTCTTCCACCAAAGCTTTTCTTGAAGGGCCTGATCAGGTAGATGTTTCCAGAGCATTCCTTCTGATTTTTTTCATTAATTCAGTTCTGAGCTGTCAGAGAGTCCCTGTGTACGTCCCTATGTATGGGACACAGGCATATAAAATCAGGGCTGACAGTCTTGTACCAGAAGGCAGACGTCTTGTACATCCAGGCATTGTTTTCATCCTCACACAAGAACAAACCAGCCAATTAATACAGAAGGTCAGTAGCTGTGCAGTCCTGCTTTTAATTGCAGTAGTTGTGAGCATGTCTTTGATGCTTCTCCACATAATATTCTCTGTTTCTATTGTTGTCCAGAAGTACTATAGCTTCATGGCAGCCTGTAGATGCAAAGAGCATGAAATCAAACACATCTGCAGATACCACGGCAGGCAAGCTGGGGAAACAGAGCTGGAATACTCCGAAGAAGAGGTGAGTAGGTGGTTTTGGTTTAAGGTTATTCCTTCCCTCCCATGGGACAACTGTTATCTATCTAGTGTCTGTGACGCTTGCTTACACTAATGTATGTGGTTTGACATCATGAACACCTGGACTGATCTGAGCCTTCTTGGCGGGGGGGGGAGGCAGAGTAACTTCTGGTGGCACCAAATAGTGTCATATCAGTCCTTTTGTGGAGGGGAAAATTTCATGGACATAAAGCATCCCCTCTCTCAGGGGCTGAATTTGCCTTTTGTGTTGTATCATTACAAAACAGTATCTTTTTCTTTCCAGAGGACTGAAACCTCTGTAGCACCCTGTCAAGCTCAAACTTGCCAGCAACGTGTAAGTTTATAGAATACTTAGGGTTTAAATTGAGGTACAGCATTTATCATTTTGCATCAAGCTGCTTAAAATTTGTGATCAGGTGTGGAGACTGTGATAGCACAGAAGATTAACTAGTGGTGCATTCACAATCCTAACATACTATAGGTGGGCAGTAGAATAGGCATACAGAGACTTGCACAATTAATTATAAACCAGATTGTGGCATTTTGGCACATAACCATTTAAGAGTCTACTTTATGTTTTGGACTGGTACAGAATGTCAAACACTGTAGTTAATCTTTAGGCTCTTGTGATTTGCATCAGCAACAATAATCCAGCAGTTCTCCAGTCTTACCTCTTACCTCCCCCTGTGCTGAGGAAAGGCATGTGGCAGTGCTTAGCCAGTTATGCTTGGCCCTCATGCACTCTCTCTAAAGACTCCTGTTCCTCAAGGAGAAGAAAACTACTTTTTTTTTTAAATTATCTTTCAAAGCCTAACACCTCACTGAATCAATTTCAGGAACTTCTAAGCCACAAAAGATGAGAAACATGGAATCTGCACCACAGTACAAATTAGTGGCAGCACCCTTGTTGTATGGATGTTTTCCAGGTTTATGTTCAAAACCATTTAGGTTGGCAACTTTCATTTTTGTGAGGCAGACATTACGGCATGCTGATTATTTTCATTGCTTGAAACATTACATGAAATACTTTGAGTATGGCACTTGCTAATTTTTGTACGGCACTTGCTAATTTTTGTACTGACAGAAACATTTTACAGTTTTGTCCATGCTGCCTGTGTATTTTGAAAACATCTTAGGATGTTTATATAAGAACTGAAATGTAATTTTACCCAAATTCAAGTTTTTTTTTTTGTGGGAAATCTAAGACTAAACAGTAATGAAGCTTATTTCCCCTCCTACCTCCCCAAAGACCAGACAAGCTTCTGAAGACATCTACATTGAAGTTTCTCCTGGCACCTATTCTGTCACAGCAACCTCAGAGGACATGGTACAACAAACCCACGTGGTGGATGTCGACGCAGGACAAAGCGTTGATTTAACTTTTGTTCTATGATGTTTGCTGTTTCTGGGCAATCACAGGAATAAAAGATGAAGCTGGTTTAATGCATGTCATATCTTTTTCTTGTTAGCACTTTAATAGTATCCTCCTCTTTGGGACTCCATTTTTATGGCCTGTATATTTGTTTTCTACTTAATGCAATTATACGCAGCCCACTTTGTACACTGATTTTATAAATATTTGTACATTGTGTGCCTTAAATCCAATTATGTGACTGTGTAATTCCAGGTTCTCATGCTTTAAATAATTAAAGATACAATCAATGGAATAAAATACATACTTTAGTCTTTATGGCGACAGCTTCTTTTATATTTTCCGCATTGTTGACCACAGAGAGCATGATCCATGTGACATGAATATGTATGTACATTAAAATAAGTGCCAACGCACAGAAGGCAGAGCAGCTGCCTCACAATGCATCTCTCCTATCTGTACTTTTATTATTCTGATAAAGAAATAAAATACAAATGAATGTCACTGTGATGAAATTCAGGAAGGTGCTTCAATATATGTTTCAGATGTTCAATATAGGCACATAAATATTGCCACTTCAAGTCCTGTCTCTTTGCAGGCTCTTCCCTAGGCTAAACACCACTTCGCTGCCTTTTCAGTAGGTGCTAGGGTACCCTGAATTGTCTCCTATTTCCTGCAGGGGAGAAGCACTGCTGAGCAACTGCACGCTACAGCTTATGGCCAAGTTCAGATGCTTTAAAAATAAACAGTCCCGCTAACGAGACTCCCTGGCTGCTTATCTCTCCCAAAGGATCAGATTCCACAGTTAGAATTAGTCAGATGACCTATATATAGCTGTAATCTTTTTGTAGCTGATGGTATTAAGGTTTCAGTTAATTTTCATGGGAATGTAAAATTCAGTGGCTTGAATGCTGGATCTCTGGGCATGTTGTTGTTTGCATCTAAGTAGCATGTCCTTCACTCTCTGGCTACTTCTGCTTTAATCCTGAAAAAATTATTTTTGTCTGTCAGTTTGTATTGTTTCTCCGTTCCTTCTGGCTTTTTACAAAAAGAAATCGCTATGCTGAATTCCTCTGGCAGACTCCAGAGAACTGTAGACAAATTGAAGGTTTATTAGACCCTGGCTGTGCATCTGTTCAGGCCTTTAATGCTCATACTGGTTTACCTGATCTCTCCAGAACTGTAAAGTCACGTCAAATAATTAGATGTTTAATATAATACCCTGGAGTAAAGAGTAAGGATGCTGAAATTCCACATGGGTGGAAATGGAGTTTCTCAGTTATTAAAATTATACAGTTTATCCGTAAGTATATTCTACAGAGAGACTACCTAAAACAGAACTTGATGTGCTTAATAATGTAACGGTGTTATAGTATAAGCAGTTTACCTGAAATTTCAGCTCCTGAACTTTGTCAGCTGTACATTTTTTTAATTCAGCCTGATCATGTCTTTCCCTGCTTTGTTGCAAGTGAGCTCTTTGCTGTTTTTTCTGTCTGTCGTCTTCTGACACGGTCTGTATCGTCAAGTTTGTCATCTCCTGTGCAAGTCGCTTTACATTTATCATATGACGCTGTTTTCTTTCTTGCCCTTTTATGTCTTCATTTTTCTGATGCTGTAAAACCTTCTTCGTGGAGGACAGAAAACAAATCCCTTGGAAGTCTAGTCTAAAATAAGCATCAGTGTCTTTGTAACTGCTGCTTTCCTGGCTGTAAAACAGGTACCTCTGCCTCACGTAGCTTTAATAACGGTCTCATTTCTGTGCTAGTACAAACTTTACTGCTGAAACACAGAAGCATACAATAAGACCACAGGGTTTACAGAAGCTGTTAGGCTTTGACCAAACTTTGCTCCTTTAGAAGTTAGGAGGATTTTTGGTGACTGCAGTGGGAGGACATTAGCCCAACAGAGAGCACCTCTGGAAGCCTGCTCTCGTTTGTTTGTTGCAAGTTACTTCTGACGCAGTCTCTGTTACACGATAAAACTGCTTCAGCTATCTCAAGGAGCAGCAGTGTATCTTTGGGGTTTAAAAACACCAAGGGCTATTTCACAGGAATAAAAGTATGTCATTATACTCTAACCACGTTGTGTCCACTACTGTAACTCATGCTGTGTTTGGGGCTAGAATAAAGCCACTTCAGTTTCTTTATAGTTTTACCAAAAGGCAAAGCCTGTCACTTCAGCACACAGCTGTGACAGATGCTAACATAGAGCACGTCTGCCTGGAGCTCCATACTGGCCTAAAAATTCCTAGGAAGCCAAGTACAAAGGTGTGCAATTATGATTATTTAAATAATAAAGTAGGAACCATACGGTTAATAAGTTGATAGACATCTGCTTAAAATTAATGCATATAATTGTGAGAATACAAGATACATTCCAGTATATTCTCTGTTCACTAAGACGTGTCATTAACAGATTAATCTTCTCCTAAAGAAAAACATGCACGTTTGGCACGTTCAAAGTTTTACTCTGAAGTCAGCTCACAGTAGCAAAAGCATGAAGGTACAGAAGATCGAGCATTTTATTTCTGATATGTAATTTATTAATTGTACCCCTGGTACTCTTGCATAGAGCAGTGTTTCTGTTCCTCCTGCTAATCTCATCTTCTCCTTCCTCCTGCAAGCTTTTTTATTCCTTTTTTCTGGGCTTTTTCTGTTTGGCATTCATGTTCTGACTTTTTTCAAGTTTTTCTAAAGGAGGAGGGGACCAGGCCTAAAAATCAGGGTGTTGTCTGTGTTCCTAGCTGTGACCCAGTTCACGTGCTCTGTATCCCCTAGCTTTAGGGTAGGGATCTGCTATTTAAACTGCTTGCTTCTTGTGAGGGAGTAAGGGAAGATACTCAGTAAAGACTGTTTACTAAAAATATCTGCTTTTATCTTTCAGAGATAGAGATCGTGACTATCAGAGTGTGACTGGCAGAGCCCAGCACCTTTCCATATTTAATCTTTTCTTGTGTTTGATTTTGCTGACAGTCACAGCTTTCCATTTCCACGGCCACTCACGTAGGTCCCTACTTCCAAAGGGCTTCACTGGGTTGATGTCAATGGGCATTTGGCAGGTTTCTGAACTGAAATCTGCATCGTTGAATGCTCACACAGTTAATGGCATAATCTTTTCCATTTTACCAACTACCTTCAGCCCCTCCTTAGGGTTTTGGGATTTTTGTTTTGTTTTAATTAGTGAAGTTCCCTGCCTATCACAAAACCGATGGATGGCCTTAGCAAGCAGTTAAGTTAGGATCAATGTATCTTTCTAGCCAACCTCCAGACCATCAACAAGAATATTTTCTTCCATTCTAACAAACCGTGTGCTTACATAAATACAGTATTAACGCAGATTACCTTACCCCAAATGATGGCTTGAAATCTTGGTCTCTTAAGACTTCTTTCATTGCAAGTTGCCCTCTGGGAGCCTGCTTGATGGTTTCAAACATTGCACTCCGATTAGTTGGGGCAACGTGGGACGTGTCCCCAGCAGAGACGGCTTTGGATTCCGGCCTGCCCTTTGTACATATGCTGCTGTAGCTGCTGAGGCCTGGGAAA